TGTCATATTTACTCTTCATTGAACTAAACATTCCTTTGCTTCATGATCTTGCCTATTATCACCAATAGAATTCTTGTCATAGCCTTATAAACTACACTTATTTTTTGTTGTCAAGCTTTATTTGCTTATTTATTTTATATCTTTGCAAATGTGATGTCTGAAGAAAACTAAAGTGGTTTGCATTTGGCCTACATTAAGTTTGAGTCTGTGTCCTATTTTTTATTCTTCATCGAAACCCAGCTAATCTAATACATCAAATAAGCAACACAATCTCTCCTTTTTTTATTTTTATTTTTTTGCGTGGGAAATTTCTATTTTAACATACTTCAAACAATGTCTAGCATTGTCTTTTTTTTTTTAATCTCAAAAACTTAATTTTTTGTTTGAGGCATGGTAAGCCAATGTGTGATTTTATACTTTTTATATAGTTTTGCATTGTACAATGAGGGGTATTTAACTAATCTATCCGACTTGAACATTTTATATTATAATTTTTTTTCTCTTCAATCAAAATTTCAATTTCTTTCAATATGGTTAATATCTCTTTTTACTCTTTCCGTATGTAAGGGTCTGTTTGGGGCAGCTGTAGCTTATCCAGCTTCTACTGATAAGCAGCTGATTCTGATAATCTGCTGATGAGCAGCTGATCCGGATAAGCTGTCTGACTATTTGGTTTGTGCGTATGAAAAACAGCTTATTCTGGAGAAATGACCATTCTGCCCCTGTTTTGAAAAAAAACCCAAACACAAATCTCCCGAGTAATTCCTACATGACATTCACCAACAATAGCGAGATATCAAAACAACAAACAACCTACAATAATCAAACCAAAAGAAAGACTAAAGCAAATCACCAACCCTAAATCAGGCATCGATTCTTCCAACAGTAAATAAAATTTGCAGTAACTTCAAATTCGAACCAGGAACACATAGAAGAAGATAACATAGCCTAGATTTACCTGTTGCAACGAAGGGTAATAACTGTGCGCAAGATTCCTTGGAGCTTCAACCTACGCTTCTGCCTCTCGTAACATCAATGGAGATCTGTGGTACGGCGGCACTGCGGAAGATGGAGGGAGCGGCTCTGCGGTACTGCGACACTGCGGAAGATGGAGTGCAGAAGATGGAGGGAGCGGCTCTACGAACGAAGATGAAGAATCGTGAATGAAGATGGAGGGAGCGACACTAGGAGCGCCTCGACCATCGAAGGAGCCGAAGGACCGCCGAAGGAGTCCTGAATCGCGAACGAGGGAAGGGGCAGCAGAGTAATTGGGGGCTAAACGCGACCGAAGAATGCGGATCGCGGGTCCAGCCCCGCGATCCGCGTGTAATGTAAAAAAGAAACGGAGTTTTGATAAACGCAGCTCCAACGTGAAACAAACGGGTGAAACAAACGGTGAGGCGTCGTTTTGTAAAACGCCGCCGCATTTATAAGCTGCCCCAAACGGGCCCTAAGTCCATGCCTACTCACTAATAATCATTTATGAGGGTTCAGAAATTTCCAATTTTCACTACCAATATATATTAGAATGTTCTTAATTTTCAGTGGATTGAATTCCACCAATAGAATAGCATTGTCTACGGAATTCTAGTGAAAAATCATCCACAAATAACCTATAATTTCTATCTACTATTATTTATCTAAGAATCATTTTAGTGACTATTATATGAGAATTAGAATGTCTGGCCTAATACTTATTATATATCTTAGAAATTTCACTATACTTTTGTCATAGGTCAACATTATCCATTGAACTTTTTTTTTTTTGTCATTTTGATGCCATACTTAACGGTCTAATGATATACTAACAATCTTTCATTGAGACTTTATTTATGTTGATAAAAGCATGCAAAAATAATATCTTCATCTGAATTAATCTTCAAATATTTTGGCCATCTCATAAAATATTCTCTCATAGATAACTCATCAATTCTAGAATTCTGATCTCTCAGTACTTGCATGAGGCATATAGAGAGACATTTTTAATTTGTAAATCTATTCTTCTTTTCTTAAAATAACTAACCCTAATTGTTGCTCCACATAGATCTCTCTTATGAGATTTTCATTAGAAATGTTTATTCACTTCCATTTAATATATGTTCTCTTTTCACCTGGCAGTAAGTTATTTAGGCTCACATTGATGATAATTCTTCTTCATATTCAATACAAACTTTTTCTTGCACCATTTCCCCACCAATCCCACTTTGTGCATTTCACCTTTACTTTTTGCATTCCATGATGCTTTTGTACGTGTCATTTTTTGAAAGAGAATTATGTTAATATATTTTATTTTTCTTTAAAGCATAAATTTCTTTCTTCATTGCTTTTCTTCACTTAATTTTTTTAGTTTTTTCATGTCAGTGAATTAGAAGCTAAAAAAGACATTGATTTCATATGTGCTATTCATCATTCTAAGTATTAGGTTTTTTTTGTTCTAGAAAAGATTGAAGTAATTTAGTTTCCGTATATTCTTATCATTGAAGATATAAGCTTAGTAATGATTTACGATCACCCAAATATATGAAATATCATGTTTTACTCTTATAAATAATGTGATTATTCACTTGAATGTGCATGTGTTTCATGCCATTTTGTATATTGTTATGTATGGATAGGCGCTCAATGTAAACTCAGCTATTTTGATTATGTGGGATTATATATGTTAGGAGATGATTGTATGATCCTTTTTTAAATAATAATAAGGATAAATATGCTATTAGATAATGACATTATGATTGAGATATGATTTGTTAAATTGTTTAAAATGAGAATGTTGTTATTTATGAAATGGATATCAGACAGGCTATATACTAATCTTTTCCTATACTGTGAATTGTATGGAGGGCCAACTTATGCTATGTTAATGAAAGCATTGCTACTTCATAATAGATTTGAGGCATTTATCAATGACGAAGTATGAAGCCAGTCGCTCCTACATATAAACCTATTCCTTACTGATGTATATGTACAAGGCTTACAAATAAGAATGATTGTTTGTAGATGTTGATGGACGAACTTACAATACTGGTTTGGAAAATACTTATTATACCCTCATTTCATATGCTTTTCATCATTTGCTCATTTGGAATGACATTTATTAATTGCATTCTTTTTATGTCAACAAGGGATATATCGACCATTAACAATTTAGGTACAATGTCATCAATTGAAATAGCTAACATATGGTAGCGACATATCAACCGATGATGAGTTAAATTTTCTATGTATTATTGCTACGGTGTTTCTTAGACAATGATGTAATTATTCATTCTGAAATTTATAAATGTCATTTCATGGTATAGTTTGTCTATATTATGAAATGCTATGCTAATTGCTAGATGCTATATCATACTATAGTAAGCCTATGACTTCAAATGCTTTACATGTGCTATGTCCTATCAATGTAATATCATGCTTTACATGGCTTATACTATTTTTAGCATGCAAAATTGAACAACATTTACATGGTGAACTGAAACCAATAACATTCAGGATATGACATAATGTGACAAGATAATTTGAATAGAATTTTACATGAATTTGTATGCTTTATACATTTCACCTTGCATTAATGTGACAACTTGCATTAAAACATAGTTTAATGCTTTAAATAAAGCCGCACTAATAGTATTAAGATAGCTATTGAGAAAAATGCCAAGCCAATGTAAAATTTACTTGCAGATTAATAAATTGTGGCTATGATGGAGCCTTAGTATGTAATATAAATATATTTGATATTTTATGAAATGAAGTGGAAATAAGGGTCTAACTATGTTATGTCTAGCACAAAGTTGTTGATTTAAAATTTTTAATGTTACGATAATATATAGGGGCATTTACATGCTTACCACCCAATTCCCATCGATTTTCATATCTAGCACCCAAATTTAAATTTTTTACATTTATCCCACTATATAAAATATCACTATTTTAACTTTGAAACGGGGGGTTAAACCTTAATAGATGGCTCTTTTAGCATTTCGATGGCGGGTGCTTAGCCTTTTGATGCTGACCCTTAGGTGGTATTTGGTGGCATCGAAAAATTTACGATAAGAGAATTTATCAAATCCGTTGATTTTGGTCAATTTGCACCGAAGATGGAGTAGATGAAAAAGTGTGAAGTAAATATGTGAATCTGCATTCTAGTTGGATTCAATAAATCCAACTATACTTTGCAAAAGAGACTGAACGGGAAGAAACAAATAGAACATGAGAGATTTTGCTTTAACAGAGAGTTGGGTTTTGTTTTATTTTTCTTGGTGTTTGGCTGGATTTGAATGAAATCTGTGGTTAAATCCTATTAAAAGTGTGCTACCAAGCACCCACTTAGTTTTTTTTCTTTGATGGACTTTTGGTTTTCCATACATGCGCCTTTAGTATTTAGTCTTTGAGCCTCTGTAGCTGCACTCCTCTGTACTTTTTATTTGTTGGATTTTGTAGAGATCATCATAAATTTAACATTATAAATTTGAAGATGAGTTCTTGAACTTCAATTTCAATTTCCAAATTTTATAACTTTTATAGTTGCTAGAGAGCAACAACACAAATTTTAAGAGTTCTTAAAAGACATTGAATTTGGAACTGTAGCCTATAAAAAAATTGGCCTGATGCAGTCGAACTTAGGTGGTATTTGACAGCATATTTAGTCATGAATTTAAAGTAAATACAGTCGAACATCAAAAAAATCATAAATAAATCCTACACTCTGTTAATCAAATTTCACCGCATACCATCTTTTTTTCTCGCAGCCCATCACCTTTTCGATCTAAATCCAGAATTCGGAGACAGACCGTTTGATTAATCCGGACGTAAATCAGAAATGCAGCAAGGAGAATTGCTTTTAAATATAGGAAACGAAAAGTAATTTTTTTATTTTTTCACTGCTGATGTGTGAGAAAAATTAAAAACAACTTTAAATCATCTCGAAATAAATGCCGTATTAAAAAAAGTTTATTAACTTAAAAAATTAAAAGCCATCCAAGCTCAATCTTAATTAGGGTTCATGCCCAATTGTCCCGGCGTTGAGCCCAGTTGGGATCACAGAACAGAAATAGCAAGAGCACAAGATTTGGAACAGCGACAACAAGCAGCGGCGGCACTCTCAACCCCAACCGCCCCCGCCGGAGGCGCCGCATCCCCCCCCGCCGGAGTCGCCGCCGGAGACGCTCTCGAAGCACCTCCGGCTCCCATCTCGCCGGCGCAGGTTCTTCTGCGCAGGAGAGCACCATTGGCGGCGGAATCTGAAACGGGCACTTGCTCCGCCATGAAGCAGTCGGTCGTTCGAAGCCAGTTACCCGACGTAAGAAAAGAGCGGTGGACCATCGGAGAGTTTCCGGAGCGTCGGGTTCGCAGAGGAAGGGAGGATAGTCCCAGCGGAGGAAGCAGGGGAATCGAGCGGCGACGAATAGCTGGGAGTGGAGTGAAGGGGTTTTCGTTGGGTGGATGAGGAGGTGGGTTAGGGTTTCGATACGATCCTCCCATGTCAGCGATCTCTTATCGGCAGTCATCACCGTAGCTTTGAAACGAGCAATGCGCCGGTGATGAAAGCTTGTGTTAGAGATTAGGGTTCGGATCTGGTGGACGCGGAATACAGATAAGGTTGGGAGTTGCCGGCCCGGCTGGCTCTAGATTTGGGTTGGTTTAGTATTAGTAGCTCGTTTCGGTTTTGGCAAGCGGTTTAATATTATAGGAAGTGTTAGCCTCTCACATTATCCAATTTCAAAGCAAAATCCTCATAAATTTAACAAGTGGCTTCCATTGATGTAGAAAAGTTAATAGACCTACCGTGGACTAACTAATCTTAGCTCTTTTAAGATCTAATCAAGAGTACTGCAGATTTAATTTAAATTGAATGAAAATATTTAGTTTTATCGCACATCTCTTCTTTATTTGCTATTTTAAGAAGGATATTTTCTGAATTTATTTTGGTATGTTCGATATTTGATCTGATATTTTGAAATTCTCTTTAGGCTTAAAAATATGAATAACTTTGCGAAGAAATTTTAAGATTATTGAGAGGCATGATGAACCATAAAAAAATCAAATTTCATAGGAGAGATTTATTAAGAAAAGCATATATCAATTGAGAAGATTCCATGAGGATAATATATTAGTTAAGATCTCATACATCACATTGGAGAATTTTTTGAAGGCATAATGTATAACTAAGAAAGTTGCATATCAAGCTCGAGAATCTCGAGAGTCATGTTACTTTTTGTTTAATTCTATAATATAAAATCATATGAGAACTTGTGAAATTTAATAGATCAAACATATACCACAACGTAGAGCACCATGTAATGCATAAGCATTTAAAGTTTAATTATTACCTCAAATTCTCTAAACCATATGTTGCACTTCTCAATATGTATCTTCTTTTAAGACAAATATGGAGTATCATATTTACTCCTTATGATATCCCTTATTTTCTTTGTTGCTTGCCTAGATAGATTGAAACTGCAAAATGAATATTCGTTTGCACTACAAAAATAAACAAAAAAAAGAAAAGTATAAGAAATACTTATAAACTCAAGTATCTTTATCATACACAATATAAGTGTGTGAAGCGGGTGTCTTATAGTCAGCCTGTTTGGTAAGGGTGGATTAACCAAACTAATATGTCAATGGTGACAATGGTATTGTGTTGCGATAGCTAGGATCTCCATAACCTATGCAAGATTGAAACAGGAAGAACTGAGTGATTTCGGCAGGAATCAAGGAATAATAAGTTGGTGAAGTGGTAAGATTAATAATAGTGTTAGTCTAAATTGCAGGATGAGACTCATTATTTTTCTTTTTACTGAATATAGCCATGACTGAGATACAAGGGATGTCATCACCACCACCTGATGTCAATTGAAATAGGACGAAATTATTGATTTGAAAAGTAAAAATAAGAAAAATTAATTCAATAAATATAAAAAAGTAGTGCACATTATTATCATTTAGGATTAATATTAAGAAAATACTCTGATTAATAACAATTTAGATATAATTATATCATTTAAAATAGCTAACATATGGTATGGACATATCAAACGACGTAGAGTTAAATTTCCTATGCATTATTGCAACATGTTCCTGGGACAATGATATAATTATTAATCTTGAAATTTACAAATGTCATTTCATAGCATGGCTCGTGCCTATATTATGAAATGCTATCCTAATTACTAGATGTTACCTCATACTATAGTCTAAGCCTATGACATCAAATGCTTTGACTAAAAGGACTAAAAAAAGAGTTTTTTTTTTATATTTAAATCAGTCACACATGCTATGTCATATCGATGTAATATCATGATTTACATGCCTTATACTATTTTTAGCATGCAAATATGAAAATCATTAACATGATGAATGAAACCAATAGCATTCAAGATATGACATACTGTGACAAGATAATTTGAAAAGAATTTTACATTATTTTTTCTAGTTTGTACATGCATACCACCCAATTCCTATATATTTACATGTCTAGCCCCTAAAGTTTGCATTTTTACATTTGTTCCGTTTGAGTATTCCATATCACATAAAAATATCAGTGTTTTAACTTTATTTAAAGGTGAAACTTTTATTTGCATGATAAGATCATATGTGAAATTGAGGTGTAGAATTTAGATATGAAAATACATTAGAATTGAGTGGAATATGTGTAAATCTTTCTGATATTTATTTATATTTTCGGCTCAATTTCGACCATCCATTGCCCCTCCCCACTATCTATATAACAGCTAATGTGGCTGATTTCAAATTTAATGATTAATGCTGTAAAATAAGAATTAAATTATATATATATATATATATATATATCCTATATTAAATATATGAATATAATTTATTTATGTACAGGTTGCCAACAAAAAAAAATGTGGGAAAATTTACATACATAGCAAACAATTCTTATGTATATACATATTTCACCCCTTAACTTTTCATATTTACATAGATATGTTTTGGAGCTGTAAACCAATACATGAAAAGGCTATTCACTTTTAAAAAATGATCATACTTATAATGTTATTTTTTATCTAATACTAAATATTTGAGGGTTATTGTGTAAATATGAAAGTTTAGGGATGAGATATATAAATAATTAAGAATTATGTGCTATGAATGTAAATGACTCAAAGTTGTATGTAATTATGCAAAATTTTCTGATTGATTATCAGCACATTTTTATCTATACTTCATAATCTTTCCTTAATTTGACTTGTTTGTCTTGCAAGCCTATCATTATCATTGGGAAGCCTTTGCAATCTAGGTAAATTAACATACATAGCATGCAATTCTTGTGTCATTACATATATATAACCTGATTTTTTTATATTTACACTTATAACATTCATGTCATAAAGTTATATTTAGGGGGCGTTGGACAACAAATAAAAATTATCATCGGATTTACTAAATTTGTCAAACGCTAAAATAAAAGAGTTCCGTGGATTTATGAATTTATGATTTAACTTAAATCCATATTTTTAAACTTTAGTTTCTCAAATCATCTCAAAATAAAAGCCATATAAGAAAATTAAAAGCCTACTTGGCTCAATTTTAATTAGGTTTCATGCCCGGTTGTGTCGGCGTTGATCCGAGTTGGGATCACGCCCCCGCCGGAGGCCCCGCCGGAGCGACTCTCGAAGCCGAGATCAAAGCTGAGATTTATTTTCAAGTCTCCGCTTGCTACAATGTAATTATTAAAGGGGCATTCACATTCCTACCATTGCATATTCAATACCTAAACTTTTTTTTTTCTTTATACATTTATACCATCCAAATCTTTCATATTATATAAAATGTATCACTATTCTAACCAAGGTTGTGAAAATCAGACCGGACATTGAACCCGTAGAAGGAGAGATTCAAGAATCAATAATTGAACTGGGATTGAACCAGAGATTCAACCGACTGACCTAATAAATCATAATTGAATTTAAAAATGACCTAAAATCCAATTTTAACTTCTCATTTTATCTATGTATGAAAATATGTATTTCACTTTTTAAAAACTAATGTAATGATAGGTTTTATGTGATTAGGATAATTTTAGTTGTATAAATATAAAATAAAAAGAGTTTAGGTGTTAGATATGTTGATGCTACTCGCCGTCGATCTCCCGCTATCTGTCTTCGGGCGCACGTCGTCGTTGCCATCATTGTCGTTGTCATGGAACCCCTAGCTTGTCTTACGTCGTATAGCCCATTCTCTCTGAAGAACTCTCCCTCTAGTTGTGTGTATGATCAGAAGAGAAAATAGATCAGATGGCTAAGACATACGATGACGGAGACAAACAAAAGAAACCGCAGAATAGGTACAATAACCAAAATCTCCAGAAATTCATTAATCATAAATCATCTAGTTTTTGGCTCATTCCAACAAAAGGATTTTCTTGATAGCCTCTAATCACCTACCAACTTCAGGGCATCAATTCTACTATTTTTCTTCAAGGTGAAAGATCACCGTCATGATCTTATCATGCCATCCACATCAACATCTTTAGATTTCTCTTACAATAATTTAGATGTTATTTAAATTCTATAAACTTCTTGTCCAGTTTTGAGGAATGATTGCTCTCTATAATCTAGGTTAGTAGTAAAAGTGCTTGCTTGACCAAGATTAAGCCTCATCATTTTTTTTTTTTTGTGGGGGATTTTCAAGCAAGAGAAAAAAAAGTCATATTGACCCATCCATTAATTCAATTTTCTTACAGAAATTTACATAAATACCAGAAAATGCTTATATATTTATACATCTAACACCTAAACTCTTTTATGTACACATTTGTAACATTTTAGTGTCAAAAAACCATTGATAAGATTGTAAACATAAATATAAGCTAAAGTGTCAAGACATAAAAATACATAAGAATTATGTGATATTTATGTAAATGCCTTTTATTTATTATGTTTAGATCATTGTTCAAAATTAAATTAATCAATTATCTCCTTTTGTTATTACTATATTCCAATACACACAAAACACATGGAAGTATTTTTGCACTCTTTTCTCCCTTTTTTCCCTCACGGTCAACATCTGGCTTTCTTTGAAAAAGTAAGAATTATAATTGAATTTTAAATTTATTTATTTTTTATTTTTTCAACTATTTAATATTTTTTGTGTTATATATATATATATATAAACAAAAAAACCAAAAACAGAATTTACGTCGTTTGAATATTGTTAAAAATAACTCCACTCAAATATATTTTATTTAAATGAAAATATCAGTAAAATAAATTAAAAATAAAAGTAAAGAAAACTAAGTTTTTACAAATAACCCCTTAGTCTTACAATATTTTATTTTTCAAATTTTATTTTATTCTACATCCAACTAATTTTTAAGTTTAAAATATTGTTTTGAAATAATGAAAAATATTTATAACATAACTTTTTGTAATTATACATCTTGATACGTGCATTCATAATATTACTTTAAAGAAAGATTTACATATATACAACATGTAATTCTTATGTATTTACATATCTAACCTCTAAACTTTAATTTTTACAGATATATGCTACATCATATATACATAAAAAGCTGTATTTCACTTATTAAATATTAAAATAATGATGTTTTTATTCAGTATAAAAAGTTTGAGTAATATAAAAGCAAAAAGTAAAATTTAAATATTAGATATATGAAAAC